GAAAGTGAGAAACAGAGTAGCAGTACGTAGTTTTCAACGAGAGACAAAACTGCTTAACAGTATCTGCTTGTTTATACTGATCAAAGTCTCAAGCTAGCAAAAAAAGATTAAAACTGTCTCCCTGGAAGACATTAATCTTTCAGTATAAACAAAGCACTGCAGTTTTAATCTTTCAGTATAAAAAGATTAAAACTGTCTCCATGGGCCTCCAGGGAGACATTACGTGTGTCAGGTACAGAAAGCGTATCCAGATCTGAAAAAATGCTGGTCCATTTTGATGTAGTTCCATCATGATGATTTATGTACTGGATCTCAACTGCCATCTGATTATTGATACATTGATGAAGAGCGATGAAGCCCCTGACTTTACTGATACACAGCTTCCTATCACCAACCGTAAAACATGTGATCGCATTGTCATTGGAGATCAAATTAAAGCGACACAGATAGTATTAATATTCAGTATTCCCTTCGATTATAATTATTCGACACAATTAAGTATTTGTATTAATATTTAAAAAGTTTGTATAAATATATGAGAATATACATACTTAAAACATCTTTAAATTAAAATAAAATAAGTCACAATAAAATATTTTATATTTTTTAATAAGACGAATGGTACTTAATTAGCCGAGCAATTTTACCGTCCTTGAGGAGGTAAGTGGTACCTCGTAGTACCTCCTTAAGGACAATAAAATTACTCTAATTAGACCGTTGTAATTCATGGATACGTTACTAGCTAGTATAAAAAGGGCTACAAATTAAATTGGCTTCTGTTCATCGTCCACACTGGCACGTGCGTATGCTTCGAGTCTATCAGCATCGCGTGGGATCGATCCGCTTACATCGTCGCACTCGCACGCGCGCAACCGATCGATCGAGAGGCCCCCAACCCCAAGTCGCAGCCGTTACTGGCTACTGCGCTGCCATGCCCGTGTCCAACTGATCTAGTAGCTAGTGCGTGTGCTCGATCGATCACTCGATCAGTAGCACAAATTAACCAGCAAAACTATCGGTTACACATTGACACTTATAGTGTACATTATATCTATTCACCTATATATCTGCAATTCTAAATTATCTGGCTGTGTACATAAAAAGACGTGAATATGAGGGAAGGACATAATATCAAATAATTAGAAAGAGTAAGGCTTCAAACTCAGATCGTCTAGCCCACCACCTTGTGAAGCTAGCCGGAAGACCCCAGGTCGTCTGGCTGTGTACATGGCCAGACATTGACCGTGTACACGACCCGATATTTTGGAATTATATATATAGGCGAATAGATATACTATACGTATCTATGTGTACATGATTTTGTCGATTAGTTTGATCATAAATATTTAAACGATTGATTTTGGCGATGAAGTTTAACCATTCGTCTTATTAAAAAAACTATAAAATATTTTAGTGTGATTTATTTTATTTTTAAAGATGTTTTAAGTATGTATATTCTTGTATATTTATACTTTTTTTAAATAATACAAATAATCAAACTTAATTGTGTCAAATATTTATAATAGGAAGGAATACAAAGTAGTATTTCTACGTACGGTACCGTTTGGGAATATTGGCAAACAGTAAAATTCCCAACTTCGTGTATATAGGATAAGCTGGCTAATTAGGTCCCTTTGAATCAAAGGAATTATGAATGAATTTTATAGGATTGAAATTCTATAGGAAATTTTCCTATGTAGCCCTTTGATTCAAAGGATTGAAGTTTTCCAAATCCTACAAAATTCCTATGGAATGGCTTATTGCATATAGATTTTGGAGAAAACTTAGCAAGAGGTCTAACCTCTTGGGAAAAATCCTTTGAGTCTATCTCTCTCATCCGATTTCTGTGTTTTTCCTGTGGTCCAATCAAACAATCATTCATGTGTTTTGCAATCATCTGTTTTACACTTGCATTTCTGTCAGAATCCTATGTTTTTTCTATTCCTCTGTTTTTCCATTCCTACGATTCAAAGGGGTTAAGCATTTTAGTCGCATAAAGGTGGATAAAATGTCAACTTAAATTTGGTCATTTTTGTTCACTTATATACCAAGATTTGACATGCATCGTGTGTGCATGCACACTATCAAGTCAAGACGTTCTGGAATTTGACCTAATCAGTCACAATTGAAACCAACCGAAGCTACAACTATGGTACACGTATCTGTCTGACCGGTGCGAAACTTTGCGCGTACTGAACTTTCTTCTATAAGATTTAAGTGAGTTATGTAGCTTTGACAAAATTTGTTCATCTTTTCAACCCCTAATTAACATGCATGTTTTCATGGTTATTTTTTTTTCACATAATGAAAAACTAAAATTATCTAGAAATGGGGGCAAACGTGTTGCCTGGAGTTGAATAATCTTAGCACTTTGGCCGGTACAGTTGGACTTGAATAAAATTGTCTTGCCCCAAGTGAAATCAGGGAGTTGACCGATCGAATGATCGATGCAAATGCAAAAATGCTTAAGGAAAATACATCTTTGTAGCACAGGGGATTTTGCCATGCAAAATTTGAATCTTAGATTTTTCTTTCATGCAAAAGTTTTATGAATAATAATAGAAAGAGCTCCTATTTTATGCCATTCAATGTTATCTTTGACTAGCGAAAGGGCCTGTAACCTATAGTGGTTACAAGAGTCTCAGTAGCATCTGAGGTCCTGAGTTCGACTCCCCATGAGAGCGAATTTTCCAGGATTTAACGGCGTTGTGCTTTCAGTGGTAGACGACGTACCCATCGACAGCGATGCGCCTGTGGTGACTTTGTCAATCTCCAGGATTGGGGTAGGATAGCATCATAGGGGTAGGATTTGCGTGTGTGCGTTCATAGAGGTGAGTGCACGTACGTTGTAAGTGTCTGCGTTTTACTGTGTAATTAAAAAAAAGTTATCTTTGACTAGTTGGAACAGAAGTAGATCGAAGAAAACATTACTAGGTTTCAACAACAAAAAAAAGAAAAAAAAATACTACCAAGAAATCAGCATTTCGGCCCATGCCCGTAGCCTGATTTGTCCTTGTTTGATGGGCCTCCATTCTGGCCAGCCACGTAATCAGGCCAAGATATTAACGTACCGCATTAGGCCTAGAATTTGGACGGAATAAGTTCATCTGAGTTCCCTTAACTTCAACATGGGCCTCCATTCTGGCCAGCCACGTAATCAGGCCAAGATATTAACGTACCGCATTAGGCCTAGAATTTGGACGGAATAAGTTCATCTGAGTTCCCTTAACTTCAACCGAAAAACCAGATACAACGGGTCCCTCAACTGAAAAAACCAGTGTAGATGAGGCCCCTCTGCGGTTTTGACGGCAGTTTTGGCTGACGTGGTGCCTACGTGGCAAATTTGACTTGGTCTTTATCTGATGTGGCATCGACGTGGTGCTAACGTGGCAATTCGATCCAGAAAATAATAAACTTTGTGGGACCCACATGCCAGCCTCACACATAAATTAATATAAAAATGGTGGGGCCCACATGTCAGCTACAAATAAAATAAAGATGGCGGGGCCCATGTGGGCCCCACAAGTCCCTCTTGGCTCTCCATCATCCTCGCGGCGGAGCGACGGTGAGGAAGAGGAGCGGGCGCCGGCAACAGCAAGCCGCGGGCGGAACGGAGGGGCGGGTGGAGCAACAGCAGATGCATCCTGGCAGCAGACGCCAGGCGGAGGTGGTCAGAGGAGGAGGTTGCTAACAGAGCGGTGGCAAGCCGCGGACGCGCGGAGGTGACCAGAGGAGGAAGAGGCAGAGGAGGAGATCGCCGATGAGCGCAGTAGCTCCACTCCGTCGGCCGCTATGCCCGCGATGCCCAGCAGAACAACGCTGCCCCTTCTTGCTCGGCCGCGCCGCGCCACCTCCTTCCTTGCCCGGCCACCGCACACCGCCTCCCTCCTCGTCCGGTTGCTATCGCTGACGTCCTTGATGGTCACATCCGGGTCGGAGCCCTCCCTCCTCACCTGGTCGCCGTGCGCCGCCTCCCTCCTTGCCCAGCCGCCGCGCGCCGCCTTCCTCCTAGCCCAGCTGTCGCGCGCCGCCTCCCTCCTCGCCCGGCCGCCGTGAGCTACCCCTCCTCGCCCGGGCGCCGCGTGCCGCCTCGGGGACAGGAGAGGGAAGAGAGGAGGAAGAAGAGGGGAAGAGAGTTGAAGAAAGCGAGATGATGAGAATGACATGTGGGGCCCACGTGGGCCCCACAATTTTTTATTAATTTATGTGTGAAACTGACATGTGGGTCCTACGGAGTTTATTGCTTTTCCAGATCAAATTGCCATGTAAGCACCACGTTAATGCCACATCAGATAAAGACCAAGTCAAATTTACCACATAGACGCCACGTCAGGTAAAACCGTCGTTAAAACTGCCGAGGGACCTCATCTACACTGGTTTTGACAGTTGAGTGACCCGTTGTATCTGTTGAACGAAGAAAATCGGATTCATTGACAAGTTAAGGGACCTCATATGAACTTATTCCAATTTGGACTAATATTTTGGCCCACACACACGAATGGGCCACGATTCACGCCCACATAAATGAGGCCCATATATAATAATGGGCCGGAATTTGGAACCATGCAGACGAGTTCTTACAGGGCCAACGTCTCATCAACGCCAAGAAACCAAATCATCATTACTCTAATTAACATACTCCTAATTATCTTTCTAATCAATTAATTAAACGCAAAATCAGTAGTTTTCTAATAATTTTATTATTAAAACTGTACTTTTAGAATATTTCACCTTATAATTCGATAGTTTTACAATAAATTTACTGTTATAAATATACATTTAACAGTTGAGTGATAATTTAACCAAATAATTAACATATTATTTTTAAATAATAAAAATAGGTTATATCTTCCGACTTTGTCCATGGTCACACAACCAACAAATTTCACAAGAATTTAAAATGGATGCGATGGGTCAAACCCTCAACTCTCACCAATAAAATGATAAAGTGAAATAACGTTTTCAAAATCAGAGAGATTCTGGCACGAAATAATTATCTTTCTAATCAACTATTAGTTAATTAATTACGGAGTAGTGATAATCCCCGGAGCTCATCTCCATCTCCTCTTCCGCTTCCTACTCCTACTCCGTCGCAATCCGCCGCCTCCAAAAAGCATCCACCTGTACCCACAAACGGAAGCAAAGATTCCAACTTTCGATCGAGAGCCTCGCCGTCGATTCCCCCACCTCGGCTGAGCCCGGATTCCGAGGCAGCCCCCCCATGGCGGGAGCCGAGCGACCCTACTACCCGCCGCGGCCCACGGACGGCGGCTCCGGCCAGCCCGCCGGCTGCGACTCGCCGATGAGGTGGGACGACGACGACGAAGACCACGGTGGCGGCGGCGGCGATGGCATGACCGCCGTTGCGGTGAGCAATCCCCCCTCTCTCTCTCTCTCTCTCTCTCTCTCTCTCTCTCTCTCTCTCTCTCTCTCCCCTTACGCGGTTTCGTCACTGTGAAGATTGGTTGCGTGTACGCTTAGTTCGTTTGGTTGAGTTCGTTGTGATTTTAAAGCTTGTGGTTTGGGCGATTGGTTGGGTGATTAGGGCTTGCTGTGTGATTGTGAGAATCATGGAGGAATATGGAAAATAGAATGCTTTAATGGGTGATTGGGTTAAGCGCTTAAGCGAGAAGCAAGAAAAAGAAGGTTTGGGTTTTTAGGATTGTATGGCTGCTGCTGCTCATCGCCGTCGCCGCTTTGGCTGCTGGGAATTATGGGGCTTTTCTACGATTATTTCTTTTAAACATGAACGAATTTCCATATTGGTTTCTGTTGTAATTTTATTTTCCAAATTTAGGGATTCAACCTGTTCGAGGAAGAATCAGATGACCCTCCTGCCAAAAATGGCGTGGTCGACGATCCTGATACTACCACTACAAGTGATTGCAACACTGATATGAGTGAGGATCTTGTAAAGAGGGAAGAAGGGATGAACTTCCATTGTGATCCCCCGCTTCACGAACATACTGGCATCTGGGTGCCTGTTTCTGTCCCGCCAATGACCAAACGCGATCACGAGGAGTGGCATAAGGGCTTTGGTCATAATGGTGACTACTTTCCAGAAGACGAATTTAACTGGGAGATAGATGAAGAGAACAAGGAGATGACGATGTGGGATGTATTTTCTGAGATGGTTGTTGCGGCAAAGGATAAGGTAATATCAGTTGCATCGTATGATCTTGGGAGACGTGGTATGTCTATGTTGTCCAAGTTTTTCTTCCAAGAAGCTTGGAAGGATATGGCCCAAACACTTGCAGATGCCAATGCTGGCATTGCGAATGAGCTCCTAGAGACTGAACGAACAATATGGTTACCTGACAGCGCTGCCAGCGCCTGCATGCTCTGTAACGTGCGTTTTCATCCGATAATGTGCTCTCGACATCATTGTCGTTTCTGTGGTGGTGTGTTTTGTGGTGGTTGTTCAAAGGGTAGAAGCTTGATGCCACCGAAATTTAATACTTCAGAACCTCAAAGGGTTTGTGATGTTTGCGGGGTACGTCTAGAGAGTATTCAACCTTACTTGATAAATCGGATCAGTCGTGCTTCACAACCTCCAACTCATGATGTCACTGATCTGAGTACATTGAGGTCGTGGCTGAACTTCCCTTACGCACACACAATGGAATATGAGATCTACAAGGCTGCAAATTCTTTGAATAGTTACTGTAAGGTATGCCTTTTTACCCTAAATTGTTTACTGTTGAATTTGTTTATCAGTGCTGTTGTAATTTTTTTAGACATTTTCTTTTGTTCTTCTCTTTTACTGTTTGAGAAATCATGTGCTTATGCTTTAGTCATAGCCTATCAAGACTTGTCACCTAATTCTAAGGTGCTTTATCATGTCTTAATTCTCAACAGTTTATATATGATTTACTATGGACATCACTCATTAAGTAATTGATATGTTCCTTTCTTGCTAATACAATAATAATATCTATAAGACTTGTAACAGAGTATGGTCTTCCATATTTCTTGCAAAGTAATTTTCAGTTTCCTTAAGTATGAGTTGAATAGATGAAAAACCTAACCCGGTGATTGGATAAGAATTGCATAGATATTTGCTCTCAGCTTTTGCACAATTACACCTGTGTAATCTATAGTGGCATCATATGGTTGTCCACAACATTTCAGTACGTTTATGGTCTTCCCTCTGTTGTATAATTTGTTAATGATATCTATTATTTTTTAAAGACATACCTGTGTTACATTCATCCATTCCCCAATCTTTATTATAATAACTCTAGACCATTCAAGTTACAGTAAATGCTGCCAACTAATTAAAATGATATCTACATTAGTTGTTTTAGTGATATATTCAAATTAGAGAATCATTTTGTCTGTCGAATGCTGGTTCGAAGTATTATACAAACTAAAATTGGGTTTCCACATCATTCTAGCTTCTGAAAGTGCTGATTGTTCAGTTAGTTCAGTTGTTAGGAGACCAACCAGTAGCAGTGCAATCATTTTTTTTTTCTTCCATGTGCCATTCAGGTGGGAAGACTGAAACCAGAAAAGGCTATCCCCTATACTATCCTTAAACAAGCAAAAGGCCTTGCTATAATTACTGTAGCAAAAGTCGGTATGATGGTTGCATATAAAGTTGGTACTGGGCTGGTTATTGCTCGAAGAGCCGATGGTTCATGGTCACCCCCTTCAGCAATCGCCACTTGTGGTATTGGATATGGAGCTCAGGTGACATCTTCTTTTCTAGTGTCCTTTATGTGCAAATTCTTTTATCATCACACTAGCACATCATAACAAAATCAGATAATTTCCGACTTACCCATCAGGCTGGAGGTGAGCTAGCTGATTTCATTATTGTGCTGAGGAACACAGAAGCTGTTAAAACTTTCAGTGGAAAGGCACATTTGTCAGTCGGTGCTGGTGTAAGTGCTTCTGTTGGCCATGTTGGACGAGTAGCTGAGGCTGATTTTCGTGCCGGTGATGGTGGTTATGCTGCATGTTACACATACAGTTGTAGCAAAGGTTTGTTTCAAATTTACTCCATGGCATGCGTCACTTTGGCGTCTTCTTTCATATGTTCATTTTCACCTCGCTCAACATGGAACACATGCTTTATTATATGATACGACTGTATATTCGTGAATAACTTCTTTTGGTGGTGATGGTGATGGTTGGGAGAATATGTGTAACAGGACAGTTCATGGTTACACAAAGAGTCAAATAAACATGTAATTCTGTCTTAGAATCTCTTAAAACAAAACAACAGAATTGGATTGGGGTCCTTGACCCATAGTTTCTCAATATATTAAGGTAATTTAAAGGGTTTTGTTTGTATCCATTGCAAGTTGATTATTTCTCTTGGATTTCAAATGGCAGACGAGTAATTCTACAAAGTTTGGGAATGTCCTCTTAAACCCAATTTTAGTTCTGCATACTTTTTATACCAACACACCAGGACCTGTTTTAAAAGGCCCATAGCTTAGTAATTTGACCCTTCTATTATTAGCTTTATCTTTGAATGACTAAAATATGTCCTAGTATATCTTATCACTGGATAAGTGCACAAATTCTCGGCCTTCATTGGCTTACATCACGAACTTATTTTGTTACTGATGAGTAGGCATTATAGTAAGCTTAGCCATTCCTACTGTTTTTTCTCACAAAGAAATAATGTTTACCTTGTTTTTTCTCACAAGGTAAACATTTATACGTTGAGGCACCCTGAGAACACTTGGGACTCTAGTCTGAACAATTAACTTGTTGACAGTCTTTTAATGTAATATTAATATATATATGCACTTGTGGAATTCATATTCATAGGAGTGCAAACCATGTCATATGCATATTAATTTATTTTCGAGGAATTGCTTTTTGAATTTGAACTTTTTGACTAAAATAATAATGCCAACTGTGAACCACTCTAGACTGCTGGATGCAGTTATAGTGACAAACCTAAGTAGTATTACAGTGACACTTTAGTTCATTCGTGCAATATCTGATGTCGAATTTTTCAATTAAGTGTAGCAGGATAGTACCATTTTTCAAGAAATAAATGTTCATTGCTAACTGTTAAGTACTTGTGGCTAGATCTGGTCATTCAGACCATTCAGGGTTGTCTTATGTAACAACTGAGTCTGTATATCTGTCTTATGTTGCAGGTGCTTTTGTGGGCTGTGCTCTCAATGGTAGCTTAGTATCAACCCGAGACACAGAAAATGCCCGATTTTATGGTGGTCCAATAAAGGCACCCGATATCCTTATGGGATCCATGGCTAGACCACCCGCAGCCGCTGCGCTCTACAAGGTTCTGTCAGAATTGTTTGACAATCCTGAGAAGCAATCGCTTTAGGTCTCTAGTATGCGTTGCGTCTTCTGGTAAATACATTCTGGAACTCTCTGTCAAGTAATTGGATTGCGGTTTTGCGATCTTTTCACTTATTCGTTGGTTGCAGTTTACGCAATTGTACAGTCTGCCATTCATTGACACGCCAAAGGTTTCACATCATGGTTACCACAAAACCAAATGTAAATACATGTACATTGGATCCCTTCTTGCTTCATCAAGATATAAAAGAAAAAAAATATATACTATTTTCCATTCCCCTTGATGATCTGCATGCATGTTCTTCAGCTGCATTGATCAGCACTCCTGCTGTGAATGACCTAGGACTGTTTTTTTTTTTTTGGTTGCATGCAACTTTTTTCTCAGTGTACATGTGAATGTCCTCCCATCTTTTCTATGATCTTTGAATTTGTGCACCTCCTCCAGGGGAAAAGAGGAGGGTCCCCCAACCTCTCTTCTTGATAGAATTCACAGGCAGTATAGTCATTTTTGATGGTCCTAAAGAGGACACTGAAAAAGCTGGTTGTACTGGCTCTGTCATCCTGTTGTGATGTTGTGTGTTGTTGCATTCCCTGGGTAATTATTTTGTCCTGGCAATGCAATAGCAAACTAAAATGTACTACTACTTCATTACATTGTTTCAGCTAGCCTGTAATTCTGATGCAAGAAATTCATGCAGAATTGCACTAGACCTGAGAAACAATACTTCTCTAGCAAAAGATAAAACAGAAAATGACTTCATCAAGGTAGTGGTGGTATTTTTTTTTTGTTCATATGATGCCATTGCACTTGACATGATGAGTTGTGAGAAAATACTCCCTCCGTCCCAATATATTAAAACCTAGGATAGGATGGGATATTTTCTAGTACTACGAATCTGGACAGAATTTTCTAGTACTACGAATCTGGACAGATTTTAATATATTGGGACGGAGGTCTGTCCAGATTCGTAGTACTAGAAAATGTCTCATCATGTCCTAGGTTTTAATATATTGGGACGGAGGGAGTGCATGACACTGCAGCTAATGACTATGATTACTGAAGCGTGCCGCATGTTGAGCTTGTCTGGCATGCCCAGAGCACACACTGCAGATGAATGGAATCTCTGTCCCTGTCACTGCAAAATGTATATTCCTGGTCTTAACAAACACCAATGTCCATCCAGCCCTGAAGATACAGTAATGCGGCAGTGTCCAATCGGTGTCTGACTGAATGTGCCGTCCTCGATACTAGTGCCCTTGAATCATTGAGATGCATAATTCACTTCAGTTCCAGTTCAGTTCTACCATGATGGAATTAAGCTGAATATACTTACTAGAGATGAGATGAGCAAGAGAATGATACAGTATCCTGGAAAGTGAGTAGCAATGGATAAATGGATAATCAATCAGCAACACACAGAATACAGAGCATAAACCAGCATTGATCATGAGCAGGAAGCAAAATGTATAAAATTATTCTCTGAATTCTACTCCCAACTGTCTGACAACCCATTAACCATGAACATCCTAATTCCCTTCCCTTGCCATGTTTTCCTTTTCATTGTCTTCTAACAACCGAAAATTATAGGATATAAGAAAGCAAAAAAAAAAATCAAAAAGAAGCTAAACTTAAACGACGGCCTGCATGAATTTAAACCCAGTTCAGAGACTCCTCATAAGATGAACTTCTTCTGAACCCCTCTCTGATGATGATTTCTCCAATTCTTGATTTCTTCGTCTTCTTCTTCTTCTTGATGAGATGAGGAAGTAAGCTTAGCGATCGCCGCGAGTCATGGAGCTCCCGAGGGTGAGCTCGAGATCGTCGGAGCCGCACTCCTCATGGATGCGCTCCCCTTCCCACGCCTTCACCAGCCCGGTCATCTTGCCGCCCTCGCCGCCGAACGCGAACTCGCGGCGCGCCGCGTCGGCCATCTGGACGTCGCCGCCGGCGACCGGCGAGCACGCTCCGCTCATCACCCTCGAGGAGGACCCCGCGGCGGCGGCGGCGGCGCCGAACGGGTTGGGAGGAGGAGCCACGAGGCTGTACGTCGGGGACGACGGCCCGGCGGAGGATATCTGGAACCCGGCAAGCCACGCCGCCGCGTCGTTGCCGCCGCCGGCGGCGGCGGCGGCTGCGGCGACCTTGCGGCGCGGGCTCGGCGGGGTGGAGTTTGGCAGGGACGACGAGGCCGCGTAGGCGTAGCTCGCGCCGACGGTGGCCCACGGCGGCAGCACGCTGCCGGCGTGGTGGTGGTGGTACTCCTCCCAGGCGGCCGTCTTGAGGCGCGGCGTGCGCGGCGGCGAGCCCGAGGGCGGCGTCACCGGCGCGCTGATGGAGCCGCCGCCGAAGTAGGAGTAGTGCGCCGGGAACTTGGACGACGAGCCGCCGCCGATGCCGACGCCGGCGGAGGAGAGGGTCTTGAGCCACGGGATGAGGCTGCTGCCCTCGCCGCCGCCGCCGCCGCCGAGCGTGATCTGGGAGGAGGAGCCGGAGCTGGGGAAGGAGGACGTCCCGCGCGGGCTCGGCTGGTACGACGAGCACGGGCTCGCCGACGGCGAGCGGCCGAGCTGATCAGCGAGCTCTGACGCCGGCGGCTTGCATCCCTGAAACACACAGACGAACGGTTCGACAAATTAAACCAAATTTTTTGAAGCGAAAATTTAAACCAAATTGGTGAATTTGACAATAGCAAGTTAATGACATTTTGCATAGAAGAATAACAATCAGAAAAATTTATCATGTACAGTTTAACAAGAATTAAAAAAAAAATTGTAACATTTTGCATAGAAGAATAAAAAAAATCAGAAGATTTGATCATGTACAGTAAAATATGAATATAAAATCTGTGTCGTTTTTTAAGTAAAAAAAATGTGACATTTTGTATAGAAGAACAAAAATCAGATGTACAGAACAGGAATAAGAAAATCACCTCAGAACACAATGTGAAAATAAAGTTACAAGAAACGTGAATGCAAATTCTTACTGAAATTCGCTGCCTCAGAATTAAAACTTCACAAATTATGGCCAGAAATATTAACATTGCTGGCACAGGAGTTTTCATCAATTCAAACTATAACCATGATAATACCAAATAGTGGCAATGCAAACTTAACTGAAAGGTAATTAAAATCCTCAGTGAAACGCACACAAAAAAAAAAACAACTACTGCTCTAAAAAGCCGATTGCAATAAAAGAAAGAAGATACTTGGGTAGAATTTGTCATTTTGTAATGCAAAGTTGATTTTCTGAAATCAAAGGCTTCTGTGACAGCCTTAGCTTTCTTTGATGTAATATTCGGTCATGCCCATATCTATCTGCCTATGACCATGCCACTAACTTTTGTCTCCATAATTGCCTCTTTCACCAGTCCTTTTTTCACATGAGCAGCTTCAATTCTGTCCAGGCTCCAGTACTACATATAGATGCATCCATAGAGATAATGCTAATCTTAAAAAGAGAATTTACTCAAGGTATCTAGAGGCAGAGCTTGCAGCCAACTTAGACTTACTTTGACAAAACAGGGCAGATGGATTCTGTAAAGGTACTAGCTTTGACCAAAAACTAACAATCTTTGATTCTTGTATTAATCTACACCTTAATTCAAAAGCGATTTGTTTGGCAGTCTAACCATGCAGTTACTAACGCGTGCAAGCCACATCCTATTTTGCATTTCTTTTCAATTGAAAACAAGTAGCACTTCAGTTTTTTTCGGTTTTCACTTGTCAGCCAACTTGTCATCCAGAAGACTTCAGAAAAGAAGAGATGATCTAATCCTTAATTTTTTTTTAAAAGAAGAGCAGGCATCTAAAAAGCACCATAGATAACAAAAAGAAATGCTTGAAAACAGATAGATTTGATACATTGTATTCTGCAAACAAGATCCTGATAGCAATGTTCAGACTTCAGAGCTAGTACTACAACCAAAAAGATGCTAGTACTGCTCTTCTGCCAAGACAAAAATAAAATAAGAACAAAAAAAAGAAAGAAAACAAAGTGATGAGCTTTAAGTACAGCACCACTACTACTACGACCTCTTTTCCCTGCCTAAAAAGACACTAAATCTTGCTAAAAAGACCCAGCGCCACAGCATCATCTCTCCACCCCACAGATGAAGAAGATGAAATCAACAACAATCTAAAACCATTTTTGTTCAGATAACGGAAGATCTTTTTAATACCAAAAACAACAAAGAAACAAAACCAAAAAAAAAAAAGAGAAAGAAAACGAACGCTTTTTATCCAGGAAACGGCCACGGAATGTCGCGGCGGCACGCGTAATCCTGAGCTCCTAGTGCGTGGCTTGTCCCACGCACGCAAAGAAAAGAGGAGATGAGAGGAGAGAATTTCCCCCGCCATTATCGGAGTAAAAGGAGGAAGACGAAGCAGAGGAGAGAAAGGAGAGGAGAGGAGAGAGCACGCGCGCCGCGTTGCAGGAACGAGGAATAAAAAAAAAAAGCCAAAAAGGCAATCATGGATAACGAGAAAAATTCGGTACCCTCCTCTACAGCCGACGCAAATTAAGCAAGAAATCCATTCCATATAAGAGCAAAAGATTAAATGAAATTCGACGAGAAATCGCTTAATTAATTTGCAAGAAGAAGAAGAGGAAGAGGAAGAGGGACCTTGCGGTAGGTGGTGCCGTCGGGCTCGACGGTCCAGCCGGCCTCGTTGCAGAGCGCCTTGAGCACCTCGTTGTTGTCGCAGTGCTTCGGGAGCGTGTAGTTTCCGTACGCCCGCAGCCCCGCGTAGATCTTCGCCGCGATCGCCCGCCGCCGCCGCTCCCGCCGCCGGTTGTTCTCCCGCTCCCTCCACGTCGGCACCCTCCCTCCCCCTCCTCCGTTCATCATCCCTCTCACCTCACCTCACCGCCGCGACCTACGAGGAAGCCAACGGCGGTGCGCGCTCGCCGTCGCCGCCGCTGCAAGCTCGCCGCGCGCTCTGCAGTGTCAGCCTCGCAGGCGCGGCGTATAAATACGCCGGAGAAGCAGTAACGGCCGGAGGACGCGCAATGACCATTCTACCCCTGGGTGGTCTTGCGCGGGGGAGGGTAAATGCGGCATTTCGCGCGGGGGTGGCCGGTAATGATTCCGCCGCAGTTAAGGCGGGGGTGGCCGAGAATGGAATGCATTCGCAGTGGCTTAACTAGCCTATCGCCTTAGTGAACAGTGGCCATTTTTAGCAGCAGCTAGCTAAGCTAAGCTAATCCATGCAAACCAAGCGTGAGCGGCGTGGGTGGTCAGGTGACGCGTGGTGGGGCCAGGGTGTCAGTGACTGTGGGGGGTTGGTGTGCTACTGGACCAGTGGTGGTCAAACGACCGGCCGGCTTGGGTTTTGGATATGTTCTTGGGGGTGCCCTTGATGACTTGGGTTTTGGTATGATGTGTATGATTTGGTTTGATGAGGTTGGGGGAGAAGATGGATATAGCTAGTGTGGTTGCTGTCACTGTTCAATGTGTCAATGATAACTCTACAGTAATGATTAGTTAAAAGCTAGCACGAGTCTAGTTATGGTTTGTAACGGTTTTGGTTTTGTGTAGCGCATGGTTATATAGCCGTTAAATTATTATAAATATGTGTATGTGGAAGTCAATAACGAGAATTGTTGTCATTGATTAACTGCCTATCGTAGTTACTGTCTGCACGATTGGATAGTTTAAACGTATCTCGTGATATCTCCTTTGACGATTTACACGTGACATTGATTAGACGAAGGGGACGATATTAAATTTGCCACAATAACCACCGTAACGGTTAATCTGGTTGTGTAACGGCCATGGAATGCAATTTTATCCTCATAATGACTACATGTAGTATTGGATAGTTTAAATTAAACATGTGATTCCTTCTTTGTCGATTTACGCGTGACATTGATTAGACAATTAGATTATGTTAATCTTTACCGTGACAACAGTAATGGTTTGTCTAGTAACATAGAACGTAAAATTGGACGTGCTACGCATTAATAGAGCATTGTTATCTATAATAATTGATCTGCACAGTCAAAACAAAAGATTTCAAACGGTTCAATTGGGTCTAGCACATGGTTACGTAACCATGGAACTACAACTGTACATGCATTCAAGGTGTAAATAAAACATTAATATCTCTAGTAATCTATCTACAACGTAACGCACTAGATAGAGCTATGGATTGTAAAGCGTCCAGTTAGTTCCATAGCACGATTGTATAACTCTAGGATTACCATTTACAGTGCATATAGGAGTTGATAAAAATTGCTATAAAAATAATCGTTAATCAACATAACTGCAGACACAATTATATGTACAGGTAACACATATTATTTGTTACTAATTAATTTATGTGTGATATTGATTAGACAAACATGGTTGTGATAAGATGTACCGCATTAATCAAATCGGTTTGACTCGGTCATTAACTATGAAAGTGCAACCGTATGAAATCAATATAACACTATAAATCTAATAACTACCATTTCCTGAGAGGAACTACTGCTAGGCTTACCTAGCCTAAAAGGGCTAGGTGCAGTCAGTTATTAGGGGCTGTTTGGTTTTCAGGGACTTATTCTAAGTCCCTGTCACATCGGATGTTTGGATATTAATTTAGAGTATTAAACATACACTAATTACAAAACCCATTCCATAAGCTTGGACTAATTCGCGAGACGAATCTTTTGAGTCTAATTACGCCATGATTTTGACAATGTGATGCTACAGTAAACTTTTGATAATTATGGATTAATTAGGCTTAAAAAATCCGTCTCGCGGATTAGCTCTCATTTATGAAATTAGTTTTTTTATTATTCCATATTTAATACTCTAAATTAGCGTCCAAACATCCGATGTGACATGGGCTAAAAAGTTTTAGCCCCATCTAAACACCCCCTTAGTCTCTCTGGCCATGTTAAATTTGACAGGGAATACGTATACTAATTAGAGTTTAATTTATTATTTTTATTATAACTTGTAGAAATTAAATTTGAAATTGTATTTTTTTTCAATGATATAGGAGTATTATATATTAATATATCTTATCAATATTTTTGAATTTTATTCATAATTATTTAGTAACTTGGATCATGGAAGTTCACCAGAGAATACAATCCATCTCTATGCAAGCAAGGTACCGTACCAACAGTTGCTGGCAGCTGGCACGTACGTGAAGTGGACTAGAGATCAGCAGCAGGAGATAGGCCGTGCCGTGCAGTGGCTCATGACTCATGAGATCAGCATCATGCATGAGCTAGCTAGCACACGGCGTGAGCGCGGTTAACCGCGGTTGGATGTGTGGGTTTCAGTTAGTACGAACCCGGGATACCGGCCAACTCATGAACCGCTGCTTACTTTGTGGAGAATTTTTTTTTCTTAGTGAATAATTTGTGTTTGTCCACTGAGATGCATGTCTCACACAATCTTCCTCTTGATGCTTAATTTAGATGGTTAATAATATGGGGCTCACACAAATTAAGCACTTTTTAGGTTATCCATCGATAAGATCGATGCCATTTTGAGTCAAGATGATAAAAGCACAGTTAATAGATACCTGCATAAGTATATAGGTTTATCTCATGGTTAAAAGTAAAAGATTTACTACTCAATAGATCTCCAAATCTCAGTCGAGTATTATCATTTATTTATATACACAGCTATATTAATAGCTTAAAAAAATACTCTCACATTTAACTACGTCATCAAATTGGGTCAGCCATTAGATTGAAATGTCTAATACACATTGAACATTAGACCGATCAATGTTTCTTCCTAAAAGAATTCTTATACCCACGTATCAACACACGAAATATCAACTAGTTCAGTGGCGGATGCAAGATTTCTAAGATAAAGATACAACATCACTTAAGCATAGTTAAATACTCCAAAAAAAATAAAAAAAGACTTGCTATAAGTGAAAGTCAAGTGATAATTTTGATCCCAATGCAAATTAATAGAGACCAATTATACAGGAAAATTTACAAAACAACGTAACTAAGCTAGAAAATACGTTTAATACCCTTAGAAAGAATGATTTTGGGATTAAGTGTGCTTGTTTTGACACAAGTAATGGTATATAGACATATTATACCTATAAAATCACTTATTTTTTACAAAAATTTGGGATAGAAATGTACCCATGTCCCATGTCCCATTGTAGGTCCGCTCGTAACTAGTTGTTATGACGTGGACAATCACGTGCTTGTAATGGCCTGATAATTGTCTTTAACTAAGCTCCAGCTAGCACCCATCAAACAGCGATGGATAAGCGATGAGGATGGCACAACATTAAAGTAATCCAGGCCATATTCAAAAGTAAATGAAATTTAAATAAAAAAGCAAGATGATCGATAAATAATACTACTACATTTGTTTTTTAATATATGACGCCGTTAACTTTTTACATCATGTTTAATCATTCGTCTTATTCAAAAATTAAATAAATATATTTTGTTTTGATGTGGCTTGATTTATCACTAATAAACTTTAAGCACTACTTATATTTTTAAGATTTGCATAAAATTTTTAATAAGACAAATGGCCAAATATTATAACAAAAGCCAACAACGTCATATATATTGAAAAAAAAATGAATCAATCGATATCTCAAATATATCACCCCGTCTAAACGGATATCAACTAGCCGATACCTTAAAAAAGTATCATCCTGTCCAAAAGTATACCATGTTGTAGCATTTTCCTTATTAATTTATCCATCAATTGGCGTGTGAAAGAATTACCGCGGAATATGATTTCTTCTCCAAACAAACCAAATTAAACCAAAGTTCATGACCGACAGAACGAAAATGCCAGAGCAAGCAAAGCAAGCATGCATGCCGCATTTTCAAGCAGTGGCAGATTGCATATCGTGGAAGAAGGGCCAAGCATGCAGCATGACACGTCGTTTTCTTGCCTCATCCAACGGCAACGTACAGGCCGGCTGCTGGTCCATATGCGCCTCTCCCTCCTCTCTTCTGCTCATGCATGCACGTACATGCATGCATATGCTCCATCATCGTTTCATACTATATCCGTGTTTCAATGTACGAAACTGTTGATTTTTTTTATAATCAATCTTTAACTATTAATTTTATTTGAAAATTTTATACAAATATAAAAGTATTTATGTCATGCTTGAAAAATATTTAATGATAAATCAAAACACAATAAAATAAATAATAATTACATATTTTTTTAATAAAATAAATGATCAAAAACCAACGACATCTAGTATTAAAAATAGGAGGATATATCTCTTCCTGTCAAGCAGGGCCCACAGGTCAGGATAGCTAGCTAGTCCTGTCGATCGCCACGTCGTCGTCAGGCACGCATGCTGCCGGCGGCCAGAAACACTGCATATCGATCTGCAGGAGTAGCACTGCAGGGCAGCTAGCTATTCCCACCGCTTCTAAATTGTAATAACATATTCGTTTTATATTATAAATTATTTATATTTTTCTCTAAATAAAAATTTAAAATTTTATTAAGTTTATAGAAAAATTTAGCAACATTTACAACGCTAAATTAATGGACCTGTTCGACTGGTATTTTTTACAGCTACATGGCTGCCAGCTGCACAGCAACAAGCAGCACGGCTGCAGCCACACAACACAAATTACCGCTGCAGCCTGCAGCAGCAGCAGCGCTGCTGAACGGCAGCCGAACAGGCCCAATTTTGTTAAATGTAATATTGAATATATTTTAATATTATATTTGTTTCAGGTTGAAAATGTTATTATATTTTTTTTTATAAATTTGATTAAACTTATAAATTTTAACTAATAGAAAAATCAAAGCGATTCATTAATACGAAACGGAGGGAGTATTATTCTAAATCTATTAGGATATATCCTTCATCCAATTTCATAAATAGAAATCAGATATCTTATTTAGTTTCGTAACCGAAAATACGCTTATATTTTTGAAAGTGAACCGATATTCGAAACGATCAATACAAATACGAATATCGATGCCTAGGATGAGAAAGAATTGAGATGGCAAAAGATAGCATCACGAGGAGGATGA